AGGGTGCAGTTTTGAAGCCATTCTAAACAAGACAATGTACCAATTGTGTTATGATTGAAAATATGCTCATGAATGACCAACACTCACTACGGAAGGATTTCAGGCAAAGCTGCTTGTGACTAAGAGGGGAGACCCACCGACTTCTCGAGCACCGTTAAACATCATTAGTAGACCCTATGCTCATAGTTGTGAAGCAAGGGAGAGTGTACTAGTTAATGCGTTGGTCTTCATCAATGATGTTTTTGGATACCACATCGGTGACCTACACTTCACCGAATTGAAAATACGAGAAAGTCAACTTCATTAGGTAGTAGTGGTGACATACTATGTTTGCATGAACTTTGAGGAGTAATTGGACATGTAGTGTGTAATGACTTGGTTTAAATTTATTATGGTTTGTATGAAATTTGATTGTGGGATGGATGATCATTGTAATATATATACAACATCTTACTTAATTAGTTTCACTCTTAATATGTGTGTACAATATTCAATGCAAAGAAACTGTAAAAGAAAAAAAAAAAAAAGAGACATTCAGTCCAGCGCCTGGGGCCCAGGCTAGAGCCGCCTTTATTACTGGTTGATATTACCAACCGAGACTAGAAGTCCCAAATCAATCTCGGTTGAGAGGACCGAGACAAAAGGACGGGCCTTTAGTCGGATTGGCAATCCCGATTGGAAAACCAGGACTAAAGGGGGTTTCCCAACCGAGATTGCTACCCAGTCCTGCACTAGTGTGAAAGGACTCTTATTTAGTTAATAGATCAGCAGCTAGCTTTGTTGGTAGCTAGGTAGGTTAGTCCATGAAAATACTAAGGGGCCGTTTGGTATGGCTCCCAGGGCAGCTCCTAGAGCTGTTTCGCTGCTCCATCAACCAAACGGGCAAAAAGCAAAGGGCTCCTCGCGAGGATCCACGGGAAACCCGCTCTCACAGCACCATCTCTGCTCACGGAGCCAGAAATATTAGCTTCACCTGGCTCCTGCCGACACGCGTGCGGGCCCCTATGTGGATTGGACGTGGGTGCCCTTCTTCCCGGCAGCGACAGATGTTGGGGAGGCCAGCAGCGCGATGTGAGTCGACGGCGGCGCTGAGGTGCGAGACAGAGGGGCACGCGGGGGAGGGAGCTGGCGAGACGGAGGGGCGCGGCGCCGTCGGCAGCCCGTGGCCGGGCGCGGCCCTAGGTGTGAGGTCACGGAGGTAGAAGAGGAGACGCGAGGTCGCATACTTGAGTGCGGCGGCGGGGTGGGCGGGCGGCATCTGGAGGTAGGAGACGAGATGGAGGGTCGCGTACTCACATGCGGTTGGTTGGACCCTGAGCAACGGATAAGGTAGAAAAAAGAAAAGAGAGGAAAGGAAAGGAAAAAAGAAAAAAAAAAGGCCGATTGATAAAAGGATTAAGATTGAAAAAAATAAAGAAAGAAAGAGTAAAACAAACAAAATAAAAGGGTAATATGGGTATTTCACTATTTTCAACCATGAGTTGGAGTTGTTTTATCAAACGGTCCAAAAAAGTGCTTCAACTCCTTGAGTAAATCTGCTCCACACATGAAATCACAACTGAATTTGTTTTAGCTGGAGCCGGAGCTCTACCAAACGGGCCTTAACATGCATTTGTCTAGACCGATCTGGTGAAGAGAGAAACAGTGGGCATCATCTAGGTAGTAGCCTTGGGGATGATGAAAAAAATTAAAGCACATATATATGTACAGGGTTCTAGCTACTATATATGAAATGGTCACTTTTAATGATAAGGCCAGTCTCACCGTCTAATCAGTACGAAGCTTTTGCTGCTCCTATATACTCCGATAATATTTTTTTGAACGTCTATATACTCCGATAATAATCCATTGCGTGTAGGTGGTTGCTACAACACAGAGCATCTCTCCGGCCAAAATAGAGCAAACCAACATTTAACAGGAAAAATAGTTGATCACGTACTACCTAGTCCTGAATTACTCTATTATATACGCTAGCTAACTGCATCATCGATCAGTACATGCATGGAAATTTTTCTAATGAGGTTTGGATGTACTGATGTACCAACACCGCTGAGCACGCAGCATGCATTTAGTCGGTGCAGCATGCAGTAATCGATAATGCAGTGCATGCATATGTGTGTAGTGTACTAGCAGTGTATCAGGTCAAGCAAGCATGCATGCAGCAGCAAACAGTCAAACATGCTGCACCGCCCTAATTCCCCGCCTCAAAACTCGATCAATGCAAAAAGATTCTTCCTGTTTTTAAACCCCAATCCATTGTACTTAATAACCACTGCTAAACAACAAGCGCGCATTATATATGTTCTATGCATCTTTGCACATCTCTCTCTGTCTGTCTACTCTGGAATCCAAGAAACTTCATGACGATCGATCAGTGGGCGACATGGATGGTACTTGACCAAATATTTTTGGTTTGGAGCAGCAGCTCAAAGCTAACCTACCTACATGTAGTGTTTAGTTTTTAGTAGAATAATCTATGTAATCAAGAGGCAGCGCTTGTTTTTGGCCGTGAATTCGATCCAAAAGATTCTTTGTTGTTGGAGCATTATTATTCTAGCTCCTAAGTGTAGGAGGTTGCAGGAACATAAGGTATCTCTCTGCATTTGCGTTATAGGCTAGTCAAATGTACATACATAGTGGTCGGAATTTCGGTGCAATTAATTGGTATATAATTCATCTTGGGTCAGAGCAATATGTCAGGAATCAAATTTGATTATATTCTACTTGTACCAGAAAAAAAAAATATATATAGCTTTGTTAGTAAACCGATGCGGATTATTACTTACTTAGGATAGGAAAAAAAAAGCAGTTGCACACAGTAAACCTGTGTACTGTAATACATATCTAACACTAGCTAGATTGATGCTGACAGGCACTATTGTATTACTATTGATTATGGACATGCATATGTAAGGATGTAGTACAATATAGTGCAAGTGTACATACATATCAAAACTCGTCTGAACATTTAATTTGAAATGAATTTCAAAACTGCCAAAATGTAACAAGATAAGCTTGTTATGTCAAGTCCAAAACAATGATGAACGGTAAAGTAATCCGATCCAAAGGCAGTGTCTGGACCACCGCGCCGTATGATATCCCATCACTAAATAAAAAGCATACTAGTTTACCTGATGAAGGGGGACCATGTCAGTAGCTCCCACCACAAAAAGAAAAAGAGAGGAGCTTTATTTGGTGGTTAGCTAAAGGAACAGCACTAACAGTGCAAAATTAACAATCCTTTCCCGATCCATGCGGTATCCAAAGAAACATAAAAATCACAAAAAAAGCATCGTTAACCGCTTAACGATGCTTTCGTGGGGTGGGTTTTGGGCTAATTAAACAAGCCCCCCACTAGGGCTACTGCCCTAGGTGGCCCCACTAGCCAACCAAAAGAAGCAAGGCTCGAGAAAGGAGGAACAAGGCGTAGTGGAGAGAGAAAGACGAAGATGCATGATGGCCATGAGAGAGAGAGAGAGTATAGGAGAAACAGTGTTTTTCTCTCACAACAAATCAGCATGAACAGTGTTTTTTTCTCACAACAAATCAGCAGCCGGAACAGTGTTTCGGCTTGTTTTTTCAGCGAAGCGAACGGGGCCGATATTGGACAAACTAAGTGATATATACTCCAATTAAAGCATGCATGTTACATTGTTCCCTGCATATCTTATTGGGCAAATGGCAGGAGAGGGAGGGAGGGTAAGGTAGCTAGGGAAGGAGTATTGTATTGTATGTGCAAATTAGAAGATGCTCCCCGAGATCTCTAATGATAGCATGTATCCTAATCATGGCAGCGCCACATCTTGTTTAGTCCGATTTGGTTTCTTGGCGCCCTGCCTGCTTATTCATTGTTAACAACCATAGCATCCGTCTAGTACATGGATCTGGGTGCCAGCCCGCTACTCAACAGACGCGCGGCAGCAACCGGGTTTTGGGGTTCCCCGTCCTTCATTTAGAAACAGTAGTAAAATCCATATCCACATAGTGAGCAAACAACCTCTTGACCTAAAGACCTAAGCGTTCTCTTGTCACAAAAAGAATGTCGCTAATGTAGGTCAAATGTTTCTAAGTTTAACTTGGTTTATAAAATATATTCAATGATTAATATAATAATATATATATTAATGTTAAAGTTAAAAATATTTAACTTATTGGGAAGTGACAAGGGGACAACTAAGAGTAAGAATAATAGAAGGTTGTTAACAGACCTAATGTTGAGATGGAGGGGAGAAATGAGGAGGCAGGAATCCAGAAACTCTATAAGAGAAAGGAAATAAATCAACTATTATATGAATTGACTAATAAGTGGGCTGCAAGGATTATACAGCCAGCTGAAGGATGTACTATTAGCTAAGGCTCTTCAGCGTCCTGCTGCATGGCATCCGCCAGCTAGGACCAGTAGTGTTAGCCTTGCTTATTGGATCGGAGTCGGACCCTGCAGTGCGTGTAGAAGCAGCCCACAGCCCGCCCGGCAGTACATGCATGCGATGCGATGGCCCGCCTAACCCGTGACCCGATGGACCCGACGAATAACCCGTGGGGCCCGCGACGGCCACTGGCGGAGACTGGGGGCGGGCCGGGCTGTCCCGGGTCGGCCTGGCAGGCCGCAACCACCCAAAACAAAAAAAACTGTTTGCTTGTACGCGCACCGCAAACGCACGCACGCACGCCCATAGCTCTCTGGCCTCTGGCACGTACGTGCGCGTGCCGCCCCTGCCCTCTTCGTCCTGCTCCGCCCGTGTGTGTGGCGGGGCCTCCGCCTCGCACGCCCACACGCCCTTCCGACCTCACCTCCTCTCCTCACCTCTATAAAACATCACGCCGGGTCGCCGGCCACACCACACGCACAGCCAGCTAGCAACGACGACGAAGACAGAGCACAGCGCAGCGCAGCTCGTCGGATTGAATTCGTTCTTGAGCCAAGTTGCGACCGCCGCCGCCGTTGCCCACGCGCGCCGGCCGCGCCGGAGAAGCTATACCTAGCTAGCTAAGAAGAAGCAATGGAGGTCGCCGCAGCAGCGAGCTACGGCTTGAAGGCCGCCGACGACGTTGACAACCTCAGGGCGACGGAGCTCAGGCTCGGCCTGCCAGGCACGGAGGAGGAGGAGGAGGAGGAGCCCCAGCAGAAGGCGGCGCTGCCGCTGCTGCCGCCGGCCCCGACGCCGCCGCCGTCCACGCCGAGGGGCAAGAAGCGCGACGTCGTCGGCAGCGGGCCCGACGACGCGCCCAATAAGCGCGACAGCAACGCCGACGCCGCGCCGCCGGCCGCCAAGTGAGTAGCGAATCGATCGGTCGGTTCACGGTCACCACGCACGCACGTCGCACGCAGACCAACTCTGCAGCAAGCAGCAGCTCATGCAGTCATGCATCTATCCTTGCAGGGCTCAGGTGGTGGGATGGCCTCCGGTGAGGTCGTACAGGAAGAGCTGCTTCCAGCAGCAGGCGGCGGTCAAGAGCAAACCTGCGGCGGCGCCGGCGGAGGAGGCCCCGGCCGCGGCTGGCGGGCTGTTCGTGAAGGTGAGCATGGACGGTGCCCCCTACCTCAGGAAGGTGGACCTCAAGATGTACAAGGGCTACCGCGAGCTCCGGGAGGCGCTGGAGGCCATGTTCCTCTGCTTCTCCGGTGGCGCCGACGCGCCCGCCGTCAACCCCTCTGACTTCGCCGTCACCTACGAGGACAAGGACGGCGACCTCATGCTCGTCGGCGACGTGCCCTTCGAGTAAGCATAGCTCTTGCCTGCCAAACATCTATATGATTGGATTCAGAGATATGTTTGGATGGTGTCTGATTCTGCTTGGTTCTTGTGTTTCTCTGCAGCATGTTCATCAGCACCTGCAAGAGGCTGAGGATCATGAAGGGATCTGAAGCGAGAGGGCTCGGGTCGGTGAAGAACAACTGATACTATCGCAGCAGAGATGCACGGCTTGTGCATGCGTGAGCAGATTCTTTTGTTTTTTGGGGGTTTCTTGTCCAAGGCGTGCATGGGTATGGAGTATGTCGTACCATCTCTCCTTGTCTGCCAACAATGGAGCAGCAGATCAAAGACATGGAGAGGAGAAGATGAAGCTGCTTGGGGTGAGGGAGAGACAGAGCTTTGTGCGTCGAAGTGCATGCATGCATGCGTGGAATGATGTGTGGTCACTTTGTGTTTTTTCTTCTTTTTCTTTTGTGCTACTGCTTGTAGGTGTTATTAGCAACACAAAAGGAGTGGAGAGTCGAGTTGAATCTCCATGTGTGTTTGTACAAAGCCAAAGATCACTCTTCTTTCTTGTCTTACTTAAGTTATATCTATCCATCAATCAGTGCTTGATTGCTTCTGTAAGTGCTGCAAGGGGGGAAATTGGCCCTTTAATCCCCCCCCCCCCCCTGTGAGTTCAGTTATCTATCCATGTATTTCCTTCCTTTTTTGTGTGGCTATGCAATGTGCAAATGCAAGAACAGCAGAAGCCAGAAAGCTCCCTCCTTCAATCTCAAGCACACAGCAGTTAACACCTTTGATATATACTAATGTTCCAATATACAAGAGAAGACAAAAACAAATCCATTCGACAGGAACACTAGTTCCTCCTTGTTACTACTATCTGTAAAAGAGAACGTGTGAACTGAAGATGGTGAAAATGTAGCACAAACACTTGTTCAGTAGAGTGTATGGCCACCATTTTCAAGATCCAGCTAAAGCTTTGCTTCGCCATTCCACTTGGCACCTGTGTCATGTAGCAGCCAGGCAAAGCTACCAAGTTGGACGGCCGGACACGGCCAGAACCAGAAGGCAGAGCTGGTTAAGGCTCAACAGAAACCAATGCTCTGGTCTGGGTCTGGGTCTCTGGCGACTGGCCAGGGCAGAGATAGAGCTGAATCTGGGTGCTGCGCCGTGCTGGTGCTTGCACACTTGCAGAGCGCCCATCCATTCAGATTTCAGATTTCGCAGTGGTAAGGTAACGTGCGGCTGTTCCTGGCCGCGCCGACAGGGGACATGTGGCGCACATGGTTTCAGACTTTCAGTCAAGACTGGCTGGACGACGAGACGAGAGGGCATCCGAGGCTCACACCCCGGCTCCACGCCGTGCCTGGCCACCGGAACCGGAGAGCATAGAGCCTGGAGCTCCAGGTAGCAGCTAGGGACCAGGCCCCAGCATGTGGTTGCGAGGAGGAGGAGGAGGAGGAGGAGGCGACAGCAGCACCCACCAGCAGCATCGGCGGCGAAACCAATGGAGAGATTTCATCGCAGTGCAGGTGCAGCAGGGCCCCTGTCTGCTCTGCAGATTTTCCATTTCCCTTGCGGTGCATGCACTGCATTTCGATGCACTCGATGATTGGTCTGGTCAGTCTCGTGTTAGGTCCAACCAGAGCTGGGTCTGTCATCTACTCATCCGTGTGTGTGCTTGTGCTTGCTCAAGGGTTAGTGGGTGTGAGCGCGCAAGTACACAGAACAGGCTGGTGGTGGATGCGAGAGGCTTTTCGCTGTCTGTCGTTGCTGCCTGTATCCGTCAGTCATCCGTCGTGTGTGGTGTGCCTGCACTGCCTGTGAGGCTGTGACGACGAATAGAGATTCGTCGGATTTGTGTTGGGTTGGCCGATTGGGCGACTTGCTGACTTTGGGCATCGGCTGATTCTGATCTGATCTGATGAGCCTGAACTGACCATGCAACTCCTGTATGCCGAAGACAAACGAGATTCACATCCGCAACCATCTTGAAACAGCGTTGCGTAGTTCACGCAACACCCAACATCATTTCGTCTAATGTTTGGTATGTTTCGTTTCATTATATGTACACCTGTTCAGCTTTCCTTACAATGTAGCAGCATTAACTCAAAGAGCATACTGCAGCAAGGCACTAGGAACCTGATGCTAGCTACCGATGCTTACGATGGAGCTGCATATTATAACAATTAAAAAACACGCGTAAATTTGAGGGTTATAAAAAAAGGGTGTTTGTTGGGCGTAACAGAAAGCTTTTATATTCATTTTTTGGGAATTTCATAGCGGAGATTATGGCAACTTTTTTGTTGTTGTGTTAGTTAATTAGGGGAGAATGTAATCTGCGTTTTTTTTTGAAAGAATGTAGTCTGCGTTTTTGTTTTTTCTTTCCCAAAAAGTAGTAACCTTCTAATGAAAAAACAAAACCTACGCCTAAAGATGGGCCTCGAGTTCAGGTCCTGTCGAAGCCTGATAAACCACTAGTCAAACCGGCCTTTTTCGTTCTGGCCCGCTTTTGGGAATTGGTCTGCTTGGTTCCCGCTGCAAAGAGTTGAGAGTTGAGCCCTATTTGGTCGAGTTGGACCCACCTGGGCCCTGGAGGACACCATATTATTCACTCAATCGTAAACGTGAAAGCGCGCATGGATTTCAAAACCCAAAAGTTGTTAACTTTGACAACAAAAAAAGTCTAATCACATGAAGGAAGTTTGTGCTACAGAAAGTTGCTGCATTAGATTTATATTTATAAGTACTTTTTAACGATCAAACTTTTGTTGCTACAAATGATGTTATAATATTATTATTAGAGGAATTCGCAATCATAGTGGGATCTTGAAGACCCCATCAAATTAAACCATGCCTTATATTTTCGGACGAATGAAGCATCGATGTCAGTTTCATTGATGATACGTTTCTTAACTGTGAGTGCTTGCAAAAGTCTTAGGGTCCCTTTGATTGTGCATTTGCTTCCCAGAAGTCAAAAGCCAACTAAAGGGCGTGGCTCGGTTCAACTTCTTTGTTCCAAAACAGCTTTCAAGTAGTGGAAATTTCACAGCACCTCCAGACTTGTTTTCATCGGCTGTGGGGAGACAGACTTTCATAAAATTTACCAACCTGCCACTCATAAATGGAGAATACCGGTTCATCTTTTCTCCATCCGACACACTAACGGAAAGGAGCCATGGGACTTCTCTCTTCCTCGATGTGCTCCTGACCTCAGGACTGGCTCCGCCACGGTTCCAGGGCGCAAACGACCGGCGCGCCTCTCCCTGCCCCAAACCTCTCATCCTCAATCATCGGAGCTCCGCCTACAGGGCTCTTCTCTGGCCACACGTCTGTCCACGAGCTCCGCCCAAGTCTACTAGCACTACTAGAAATATCCACTTCTATTATGAATAGATTTTGTCACTAAAGGAGCCAAATTCGTCATAATTTTAGTTTTATGACGGATTTATAATGAAAAACGGTTCGTCATAGAAGTCGCGTCATTCTTGCACATCTATAACGAATCTAACAAAATCGTCATAGAAGTGTCTTGATCTATGACAAAAAACAGATCATCATAGAACTGTTTTGTCATGCGTGGTAGGGGGCTACCACGCTGGTGGGCACTTCCGTTGGAGATGTTTTCCACGTGTACATGCTATAGCCACGTGTACATGCTATAGTCGGTTGCATTGGAGATGGTTCGGATACGTGTCACCTTCTTATTGCACAACGTGACCATCTCTGTTTCTTGCACGTATCATGTTCTTACTGGATCACGTGTCGGGTTCCTATTGTTCCACATGTTAGTTTTCTATTGGCACACGTGTCATGTTATGGTTGGATCATGTATCACTTCTTCATTGGACCATGTTTCGTATTTTTATTGGTCCACGTGGTCATTTCTTATTTGACCACGTGTCACGGCACTGTCCGTCCACATTTCGTATTTTTATTCGGCCACGTGGCTTCACGACTTCCTTTCACATGTCGGATTTTAATAGCCCACGTGTCGAGTCCTGGCTATTGCACGTGTCATGCACTGGTTCATCCACGTATCGCATTTTTATTTGTTAATGTGGCATGTCTTGGTTCTACCGTGTGGAGTACAATCATTTCGTCGTAGAAGTAATTCGAGATTGTCACTACTACACAGATTGACTACATAACTATTTAGCTTGACAATCAAATAACAATAATTAATATTTCACATGTCAGCAGCGAACCACTGACAGAGTATCACTACATCAAACCGGCATACAAGTCCACACATCAAACCGGCACATGAGTCCACACATTAAACCACAAATGTTCACTGCATCAAGCCGTAGGAGTTGAAGACTGAGAATTACCAGAAGAGCCGATGCACGTGCATAGCTCACGGAGATTGTTGTACTTCTCATGTTACCGTTTCTTGTATTCCTCAAGCTCCTTTTCAGTCTTCCTCTTCAGTTCATCCACTTGATCGATGAGGGCAGAGAAACTTTCCTGTTCAGCAGCAAGCTGTTCCCGAAGCATTCTCTCCGCTGATGTCTCTATTCTAGTGGAGCTTGTCTAGATACCAGTATTCTTCAAAAAAAGGTTGTTGCCGCTTCCCTGGGATGGGGCCTTGCCCTGGTAGACATAGAGGACCTTGCAAACAACATCAACACTAGCAACTGGTTGCTGCCCATCAACAACAGGTTCTGCTTGCATAGTTTCTATAGTTTCCTGCGAAATTCAATCTATAAAACATTATGTTACAGATAGTGTAAGAGGACTTCAATTGAAAACCCAAGAGATTGATTCATAACAAGTAATGTATAGGTCTTCCTTAGCCTACAGCTGATAGAGATTACATAAGCTTCAGTAGATTTTAGTAGATTTCCATAACACTAGGCTCATGCTACGTTTCCTTCTTTTATGGCAATGGCTTCAGTAGATTTCAAGGGAAATAAAAGAAGGTACTTACAACTGCTGCTCTTGCAGCATCTCTCAAACCCTTTTTCCTACTGGTATGGAAGTCCCTGAAGACTTCCATAGCATTAACATCTTCATTAGGTGGACCATTTTCTTCTTCAAGTCCTTGATCGTGTTTTGCTGCCTCCCTCTTGTTCTCCTTCTATTCACATTGCACAAGGGTTTCAGTTTATATTTATACAAAGGCAAGAGTAACAATAAAACACAACCATCACTTACAAATTTTTGCATCTGTACAACATAGGAGCAAGATCCTATAGCCTGGTGGTACTTCACTTTTGCACGAGTTTCGCTTGTTCTTCTCAGATGTTTCCTATAACTTCATTTGTGTTAGACTGTCAGTACAAGTAGACCATAGCAAGACTAGACAGCAAATCGATGGGTTCACATACCTTGTTCTTGGCACTAGACTAAATCTTGACAAGTTCACACCACTGTGCATCGTTGATGGACGAGACAGGAGAGGTCATACAGATCTAATTAGTAGGGATGCCATTGAAGTATTTTTCTCTTCAACCTGCAACATTCCTACCATACCGCAGACTGCATTACATTTTGGCAAGCTTCTTTTGTTGGTGAGTGAGCATCGTTAACGCGCAGCCTTCCCTACACACAGTAGTGTGAATGAAAAGTAAATCCATTAAAGTTGCTCAAAGCAGAGTTGAATGTCAAGAGGGGATACCCATACATACATCAAATATTTTGCAATAGACGACGTCGGGCCTCTTCCCGTTGTATTGTTTCCAATACGTCAAAATGGGTACTTCACTCCTGACTACTACACCTGCCTCTGAGGTAAACTTGGCATCTTGCACTGGATCATATGGCCTTCTGTCCCCCTCGGCAACAGAGATGCGCATCCTCACTCCTAGTGATTTGCTCATTTTGTCAAGCACATTTCATGAGTTTGAGGCCTCGGCTTCCTTGCTCTTCTCGACAATGGTACTACACAGTTTTCATACATTCAAATTGTTAGAAAAGTTACATGGATATCAAATAGCTAGTGTCGATTGATTGATAGATATCTGTAAGGTAATACCAATCTAGGCAACTTTCATCGTTCTATGGGTTGGGGGAGGACGGAGTTTCCTGAGAGGGCTCTTTAGAAGCACTATCATCATCTGGCCATGAGGAGTCTCTCTTAGGGCTAGGTAGGGTGCCATCCCGACCAATGTCTCTAGTCAAATGATGAACTTAGAATTGATCACTGGGTCCGGGTGTTGGTCGTGATGGAGAATTATGTTCACCTACTGCTGCTACCTCCACCCTTTTGCCAGTGGAAGACCTCCGAGTACAAAATCCATGAGAAGCCTCTTCTGGTGGTGTTGACCTCACTCGCTTGGAGAGCCTTCACCTAGGACTCATGGTAGCGTTGCCTTTTGTCCTGCTGGCAGAGCCTCCTCTATGACTTCTTTGACCCAGACACAGAAATTAGAGATACAAACTTAAGCAGCAAGCTTGTACAAATTCCATTGCTATTCAAATAGTAAAGCATTGCATGGCTACCTACACCTCCCTTCCCCTCCAAACTAAATACAAGATAGAACAAGCACCTCAATTGATTGGGGCACTGGCTCATCTTCTAAATCTGAATCTATTTCATCTGTATCATCAAATCCTCTAGTTTAGGGATATATTCTAAATCTTCATCGTGTCTACCCTTTGTGCTTGACTTTTTTACCTTTGGAGACATAGGTTTTGGGCCCACACGTCGTATTCTAAGTTCTTCTATCTTTCTATGATTCCTTGCGATTTGTGTATCTCGTGCTCGTTCATAAGCAGTTAATGGTTGTTCATCTAGATTACAAAGCCATTTATTAACTAAAGCTTCTATGGAATATCAACACAATAGAGCAAGAGTATGCAAATAAGCGCCTAACTAGTAACTACAGCTTATACGAAAGTCATTAATCCAATAAAGCACATGTAAGCTACACTCAACTATAGAAAATATGTAACCCCATCGCTATCTACATATCCTTTGTTCAACCACTATAGTAGAGCACGCATCATAAAAGGAATTTGGGTACCTCTTCCTCTGTGTTCCCTGGCTTTGCTTTGTTGTCGGCACAGCCATCCTATCATCGTGGTCGCAGAGCTAGTGCGGCCGACGTTGATGAAGGGGTAACAGATCTGGCTCTGGCTAGGGATCAGATCTAGCCAGTCATGATAGGTGCTGAGCTAGGTGCCTAGGTAGGGGATCTAGATCCGGCTTGTACCGTCGTCGAGGCGGTCCTTCTGCCGTCAGCTGATTGACCTGCTGTCGATGAATCAAAGGGGATCTAGCTCTGGCTACAATTTGGAAATGTATGAGAGAGGGTGTGGCTCGAGAGTGGAGAGGGAGTCGAGCTGTTGTTTTGATGGCGCCTAGGGTCCGGAGTGGGGTGGTAGAGGTGTGCGGCTGGAGAGTGGAAAGGGAGGCCATAGGACTAGGATTTGGAGCTGGAGGAGAGACAGTCCGGCTGGAGAATGGAGATGGAGGCGGAGACGATGACCCTTTGCGCTTTTATGTGGCCATCACATTACCACAAATGCCCTTGTCTGAAATCGATGGTGTGGTAAACCTATTTTTTGCATGGAGGGCAAAAAAGAGACATCTAATTTTCGGTGCGTGTTGGTTGGGCTACTCAGCGCGGTGCGAAATCAAATTTTTGGGCGGGCAGACCGCCCCGTCTGCTCAGCTGAGACCGGAATTTTGGGTGGCCTTAGTTGTTGCCTTTTTGGTTTTTTCGTAATATAAATAAACATAAAACTAAAAGTGGATGATAATAAAGAATTAAAAGATCCATCAATTTGACACCTAAAAATTATATAAAAAAAAGAAAAAATAAACCTACGTAGCTTTTTGCGCTGCAACTGGTGATTTTTGTGTGTGTGTGACTGCATCTGCGGCTGTTTGAACTAAGGCGTATAATTAGAAAGCAAGGGAAAGACAAGCCTAGGGATGGAAAATCCTCCAAAAAACTAAATGGGTTATTCAAATATCCCCATAGATTTCCCACCCTGAAAAAAGTAGTCATGGATTCTAAGGTGCTTTGAGTTTCTAGGGAAGAGAAAAAATTAAAGCACCTCCTCCTGGCTAGCGCTCTTGCGATTCACCGACTCGCTAGTACTCCAGATCATCGTTCTCCTCGTTGGAGTCATAGTCGGTGTTGTAGGACTCCTACGAGATCAAATATACAGCGGCCAAACTTTCTTGTTCGCAGTAAAATTCAACAGCAAAACGACTCTATTGGTTGGTTTTGCCTGCAGGTTTCTTTCTTGTTCTCTTTCTGATCTATAGTATGGTAAACATACATAATGGAATGCATCCAATCAAGTCTCACATCGATGTAATGCCTAACGGAGGAGCCACATAGCTATTCAAATTTTACAGCACACGCAAGAAAGTCCGAGCATTGTAAATTTTATTGGTCCGGATACATCTCACGTCCTACTAGAATATTCCCAACACGTCCAGTATTGGAGACTGTTCGACCAACCCCTGGAATTCAAGATGACATTTACTAGAAGCCATCTAAGGTCCTCTACATTTGAAGCGATTCACTTGAAATTACATCTCATAACTGTCCCCTTGTTCATCCCATAGCTATTTAACACCGGGTTCCCTTTAAATCGTACTTGCTCTAACTCCAAACCAATTTAGATCATAGCTACAAACTAAGCCACTAGACCGATGAGCTCCACCAGAGATCCTGCTGCCTAGTTTTCCATTTTTAAACACCGCATCAAGTGTAGAACGATATCGAAGAACATCTTCACCATCAAGGATCCATCTGGCGGAAGCGTCCTTAAAGCATCGTTCTCTATGACCCTAGAATGTATGATGACCAAGACCCTCAAAGCCGGCGGTCACTGGTAGCCGGTGTACCTCCTCTACAATGGAGGTAGCGCCACTAGGATCTTGAAGGCGAATCAAGCCGTGGGCATCCCTGGCGACCAGGAAGGTGTCCGTGATGTCCTCCACGGCTTGATGAGGACATTCACGCGACAACAGCAACTCAATCTCACCGATGAGCAGTGGGAGGACATCCTTCTTGAGCCTGAGGTTCCTAAACTCGTGGCCCTAGCACGAGAGGCCTGTCGAGATGGCTCCATCGCCCACGCCATGCTTGAGCTTTGGGTCGACGAACAGTTGAAGTTCATCGTGTCTGAGGCGCTCTTGACGCTCTGCGCGGAGGCGGCACCAGTGGGGTGTCAAGATTGCAACATCTGCCTAGAGGATGAAACATCTAATCTTGTGGCTGGCCATGCCATGGAAATGCCTGGCTGCGGCCACGCATTCCACCGCAAGTGCATCACGAAGTGGTTCAGCTGGAGATCCACCTGCCCAATGTGCCGACGAGATTTGTCTATGTATCTTGACCCGATAGTGTAGAGATTCCTCCCGCACTTCACCGAATAGGATTATTGATTAAGCTTATTGTTTTATGTTGTATAAAATACTTATTACGCATCATACTCCTCTATATATATTTGGTCAAAATTCAGAATCTTTGAGTAAATCTCTGCTCCGTTGCTCTAACCGCTACGATCTCGTCCGCAACTCCACTTGTTTTTATTTCCTACCTTCCCGGAGCTCTCCCATTCCCTCAACAGATCTAAAGCGCGAGGAACGTGCGGTTTCCTTCTCGTACATGTGCTCAACACATAAAATACATGACTTCATGCCATCAGGCCAGACACCCAAGGCAACAAAAAAACAAAAACCAACTAAGGAAACTTCATCCACTACAACATCTTCACTGTCCGAGGCGTTCAAAAAATGGTAGGTGGACTTTCTTGCTTGTTTAGTAATATTTCAACACCAATGGCTCTTCTTTTCTACATTAGATTAAGGCCAGACTTGCTCCTCGGTTCAAGGTTCTAGCAAATTTAACAAAGTTTAACATAGACATGCAAATAACACAACATACTATATTAGCAAGGGTTCCTACTACATGAGCTCAACACATACACTACATGACTTCATGCTATCCCATAGATCAAAGCCAGTCATGGCTACTACTACTACTACTACTACTACTACTACTACTACTACTACTAGTAGTAGTAGTAGTACTACTGATATAGGACAACAAAAATAGTACCTAGAGCACACAAAATCTCAAGGTCATCGAATCGGTTTGGTCTTGTCAAATCGGTGAACCATCTTGAAAATGATGCAGTTTCCACTAACGTTGACATTGTAGTCAGAGAGACGACGAGCATCCACAACAGTGCTACAAAGCATAAATATTTCTCCAGAATCATGGTCTTCAACAACTTTGGTAATGTGTTGTTGCCCAACAACCGCACGAACAACAGCTTCAACGATTAGGCATCGCGTAGTTTGGTCATGTACACAACTCCCCCAAGTCACAAGCAACCTGGCTCCACACCTAGCTGCCAAAACACATCATTTGTTGTAGAGTACACATCCATGGTATGGTAAGTAGTTGCCATTTGTAAACATGATTTCAGTTAGAACAAAGGACAATCGAGGAAAGGGGGGAAGCAATGAGGTTAGCAGACACAATAATAAGTTCATACAAATAGTACGGTTTGATATTAAGCACATTACCTTTATCCCGATCCTAAAACCACCAGGGAACGCGATTGGGAAAATGCAAACGGATGAGGGAAGGGGGGAGTAAGTAGATTGATGCAATGCTATCGGATGAGGGAAGAGAGGACGCTCCTTTCATATAAACCTTGCACGATTGATGAGAATGAAGTGAATGCGATAGGAAAGCCAGACACAAGAAGGCATCGAGAAAAGGAGCTTTTGACCACCATGACACACTTGAGACTTGAATGCCTGGTGCGGTTGTGATTTGTCTTTTCTATACTTTTTTACTCTAATCCAAGCAGTCACAATAGTCGAGGGGCGGACTGGTTGCTACGACATTCAAAACTGATGACCCTTTATACTGTCGTCCTATGAGATCAAATATACAGTGGCCAAACTTTCTTGCATTCGCAGTAAAATTCTACAGCTATGTCTCATTCGTTATCTAAGGCGATACTTGTTGAGATGAACTCCTCGCTACATGGTTCTTGCAAGTTCAACAAATTTTATCGAATACTACTTATACGTGTTTAGTTCTTGTAAAAACAAAGCCACTCATGACTACTAGTACTACTGATACATTTGTGGTTCAAAAACCAAGGCACAAAGCAACCCTTGCACGGTTGCGATGATTGAATTGAATGCATGAGGAAAGCCTCTATAGTTATTTCACTCCAAGCATTTACAACAGTCAAGGGGCAGACTAAAGAGTGAAGGCGAGTTGCTCTTGCTTCCGTAAGCAATTTCTCTTGCTTGGTTTTGTAGAGCAGCAACTAGCTAGAGATGGCTGCATGGTTTCATAGGTCCTGATCGTCTACACTCGCTCGGCTATGGCTAAAGGTGCCGCTTCAAATTGAACTACCTTACTAGTACTTCATGCATGCAGCCACAGCCGGTGCAGCTGTTCTTTGTACCACAGCCGATTTTGCAAAAGTTCTAGTCACAGCTCAGTAGCAGAGTAAAATGTCCGGGCTGGTCAAATTTACACGACTCAGACTATGAGGCGTGCATATGATTTACAAGAAATAGGTAAACATCATTTTGTCAATATTGTACTCCCTCCGCCCAGGAAAACATGCAATTCTAGCATAGTGTCATGTTTTACTATATTAAGTTTGACCAATTATAGATAAAAAGTATCAATATTTATGATATCAAATATATATCATTAGATTAATTATGAAATATATTTTCATAATAAATTGATTTGGATCCATAAATATGAATACTATTCACTAGAAACTTGGTCAAACATGAACTACTTTTTCTAGCACGCAACCCTAAGTTGTATGTTTTCATGGACAGAGGGAGTACTTGTCTATATATATTTGGTCAATAGAGTTTAACCCACCTAATACAAAGTTCAACAAAAGTCTATTTACATGGATATTATTACAACAAGATAAACTAAAGAACATCACAATTGTCTCCAGTGAACATTGAAAACACAAATCAGAACATCAGTGTTATGAGATACTTGAACGTCACACCTACTTCAGAAATAGAGAACAAGGGCATATCTCTAATGCCATAGATACTAAATGTTAACATCATCTGGCCATGTTACTACTACTCAGTTGAAAGGAACTGCACGAACTCCACCAATCTCTAGATCATTCGGACAGATTATAAGATAACGGATACGATGAGAAAAATACTTCTGCACCACGGAACTCATAGCGGTATGAAAGCAAAGTCTGGAGATCTGCATTTGAATGAACCACAACAAACACATAGGGTCCTAGATGATCCTCAGCAAGACGGTAGTTTCGATGGCCAAGAACTTGATGAACAACTACAGAAGCAATGTACCACCTACTATAAAAGTTAGAATGCACTGCAAGCACTACAACCATTGTTTGTAGGCCATGGCGAACACGAACCTCGTGGAAGACATAGCGATAGACAGACATGTGCCAAGAATGATCATAGTTATCCATGATCTGTGTAAAAGAGAAAACAATATGCAGAAAAAAAACGAAGAACAAAGATGCCCAGTAGTAGGGTGGAGGGCAAAACTTTGGGATGGAACTGAAGCAGGAGCTCTAGAGAGCCTTCCTCTCACGCCTCGTCTCTGCTGTTATATAGTTCGCGCCTTCACGGGTCGTGGTTCGACCACCCCATGACCCATGCACGTGCAGCTACACGCCCACGACCCCACATATATGGCACAACATTTGACACAATCTGTATTTCATTGTTTCATCAAAACTATGATCTGGCCTGTCAAGATTTCTTTAGTATCGGATTGTCTTAGGCCCTATTGAACTTGCAAGAACCATGCAGTGAGGAGTTCATCTCAACAAGTATTGCCTTAGATCTAATGCATAACGGATGAGACACAGCTGTTAAATTTTATTGTGAACGCAAGAAAGTCCGGCCGCTGTATATTTGATCTTGTAGGACACAGTATAAAGGGTTGTCAGTTTTAAATGTCGTAGCAGCTAGTCTACCCCTTGACTATTGTGACTGCTTGGATTGGAGTCAAATAAAAGTACAGAAAAGACATGTTGGTGCAGAAAATGACCAACAAGTAAATATTTATAGTTTTGTCGTACGTTGTGATCGGATGTGGCCTAGCATTCAATGACACAGGGTTTATACTGGTTCAGGCAATGTGTCCTATATCTAGTTTGAGTCAGTCAGTGACTTATTCCTGAGCCCAGGTGCTCGAAGTTTGCTGTGGGGTTACAAATGAGATGGAGAAAGATGGGGGGTGCAAGAGGTCTGGTCGGACTCCGGTCTGAAGGACAGAGAGTGACAAGAGCTCCTGTGTGCGCTGAGTATTCAAGCGTGTGCTTGTGGTTTGAACCTGGTGGTTCTGCTGTTGTGTGTTGAATCGTCTGAGATCAATCGTCCTCTGTCGGCAGAGAGCGCATTCCCATTTATAGATCAATGGGACATCCTTACAAGTGTGTGTGAGAGAGAGTGTACGTATGCCACTAAGACTTGTTGCCCACACCGTCGGGTACAAGATGATGGTAGGCGCCCACAATACTGTCGATGTCAGACGCATATGGGCGGTTTTACCATGTTCCACCAGGTAGGGTAAATGTCGGCGCCCGCAACACTGTGGATGCCCAGGTGCATGTGGGGGGGCTTTACCTGTTTTTTCCTGGTATGGGAATTGATGACGCCCACAACACTGTATGGCAAATGTCGGCGCCTACAATGCTGCTTGGCTGGGCCTTCTGGTTGGAGAGGCAGGCCAGAGTTGAAAGCGAGCGTTGTTCCTCTTCGGCTAGGCTTTTCAGTCGGAGAGGCGGGCCAGAGTCGGAAACGAGTGTTGTTCCTTCTTTGGCCAGGCCTTCCAGTTGGAGACTAAATCGCCCTTCTAGTCTGTTGTTAGGTATTTTGGGCTAGCTTAGGAGTTGCGTGTCATTCGCAACATCATCTACTGGGCTGAGCCTTTGCTGGGGAGCAGGTCCACTAGGGACCCTGGGTTTATGAACCCGACAGGAGCCCTCGAGCCCTAAGGCGATTCAGGTAGAATTGTTTAGCCCACGGGTGTAGCCCCTGAGCCCCAGGGCGATTCGGGTGGAATCGTCTGGGGGTATTTTGCTAGCAGGGAAATTTTTTGTTTTGACAGCGAGAGCGCGCGAGCGCACCCGTGGGTGTAGCCCTCGAGCCCTCGATTTAGGTAGAATCACCTGGGGGTATTATCAACGGGCATGTGTGTGTACCTTGGCTGAGACAGAGTCGTCAACCAAGGCGTCGTGCATGCCGAGGGTAGCCAAGACAGTAGAGGGATAGGCAAGACGGACTCGTGGATCTAGGCGGCGGGCGCAGCCGAGGCAGTTTAGGGATCGGGTGAGTCAGACTCATGG